CTGGGGGTGAGATATTGAAAAGTCCATAAAGTTCCAGATATGGAAGCCTTTGTGACTAAAAATCAGTAGTTCTAAATCCATGCGTAAACATAAACGAAGCAAGGAAGTGCTAGTGTAGGCTACAACTATAAGAAAATGGAACACCACAGACTGTCTGTCTGCTCTATATTCCAACACCAAAGTAGAAACTTGAGCTGAAAGAAACCTCTTTCAGGTAAAATAAAAAGAAAAAAATTATAATCTATTTTACTCCAGTCCCAAACGCACTTTCATCAATGATTTAAAAAGAACAGACGTAAAAGTAAAACATGTTTGACCAGCCACAAAAAAATGTCAGACCAGAGACATCCTTGAATTAACTTTTAGAGTTTGAACAATAATCCTACTATAACTACCTGCTGCATCAACTGAATGAAAAATGGGTTTTTTTTTATATGTTAAATCAAAAACTTAACTGTTTAACATTATAGATATTTTAATATCAAATCTTAACCTCAAATTAAGGTTTTTAAATTAATGAATACGAATTTGACTAAACTCTTGCTGGTATCAAGTGAATGATATCATAAATCTAAATGTTGGATTAAAGAGGCAAGCTACTTACATTATGCTGCCGACTAATGTATTGAAACTTAAGCAACAAGGGAGCACTGAAAGAGTTAAATGATTTATATTATTTGATATTTCTTTGCAAGGAATAGAGAAACATGATAATTACTACTTCTAGCTAAAGAAAGAGGCATAAAAGTATTTCTGTGAGATGAGTAGGTTAGTGTTATGGATCCTCATAAACACTGCCATAATTTCCTATTTCAAACTACCAGTAAATTTTTGTAGTTAAGAGGATTTGGTGTATACATGATACACTAGCGTTCTTAGGTGCTATATTGATAAATAACTAAATAAATAAATAAAATTCTGTTCGATTGAGGAATCAGGCACTCAAGATAAAAACAATTTTCCTTAAACTAGACAGATAATGAACAGGACTTCTAACCGTAAGCACTGATCCGAATGTTGAAGCCACATCCAAATGTGCAGGCCAAAGATGATCACATTTACTCGCTAGCATTTGCAATCCCTACCATACTGAGCATATTCCGGTCCTTCTTAAACCTTTCTAACACAGTACCTTTAGGAGCATCTTGTCTTTCTTCTTGTTTTCCTTTCCTCACAACTCCCCAGCATTCTATCAGTTCTCTGCAGATTTTACTGTTCTTTGAAAGGCAAGGGCTGTTGAATGTTGTGCAAGAGAGAGTGTGTCCCTGATCAAAGTCTGCTGAGTGGAACATGGCCAAAGTGATTAATTTGCCCTCCAAACACAATGCCATTTGGAATGGTCCCTGAACTGAAACTCACAGTACACTGCCAATCGGAAATTGTAAGCTACATAAGTCAGTTAAACAAAACAACAATAAGCAGTTGAACAACAATAATACCGAAGGCCAAAAATAAAGACAATAGGACTAAATGCATGAGTAAACATAAAACGAAGCATGGAAATGCTACTGTACACTAGAAGGAAATGGAATACCACCGAACATGGGAACTGGGTGCTACTTTCCAACTACTAAAATAGAAACTAGAGATAAAAGAAACGAGAAAAGAAAAAGAAAAAAAAGGTATGGATTCAATTAAGGTCTTATTCGCGAGTGTCAAACCCACTTTCATCCAGAGTTCAGACAGAGAAACCCTTGAATTAACTCCCAGTTTGAACAGTTAATAAGACCTATCAAATAAGCAATGATCCATTTTACAGTAGCTCTTCTAACTATAACAGAGCTTAACAATTGCAGAAAAATTCCAATCGAGGAAAAGGAAAGGTTGAAATACAAATATCCTACACTTGCTGCACCAAGTGAACGATATCATAAAGCTCTCCTACGGGGCTTAACTAATCACAGCAAGCTGAATAAAGAAAGAAAAGTGTGAGAACCATCATATAAAATTCATTGAAATCAAACAAATAAACAATTCAAAGGCACATTTGTTTCAGCAAAGTAGGAAAGCAAGTAGAAACATACCCATTGTAAATTGTTGTTGGTCCCAGTTGGTCTGAATATAGATGCCTTTGGATGGAGCTGAAAGAGAAAAGACTTCATATCTCCATAGAAATCACATGCCTCTCCCAAGGGTGGGAAGAAGCATAACCCCCATATATATATCCTTCATTATCCTTAATAATCAAGACAGATGGCCCATTATCATTTTTGCAGTTCAATTGAACAATTACCCATTCCACTCCTACTTAAAAAATAGTCTAGAAAGAGAAACTGAAATAAAATTAGCGAGGACTCAGCATTTACAGAGTGCAGAAGG